TATAAAATTTTGCCCTCTAGTTTTTAAGCTTTAGGGTACATTCGGGTCATACTTTCACGTTTGGTCTGCAACCCTGAGGGCCAGAAATTGCCTTTTATTTTAATAAAAGCTGAAATTCTCACATAATCCCATGACTCCAGGAGCTTGGACTTTAAGAAAAACACCAAATATCACAAGACTAGCTATAAAATCCCAAGAATTGGCTTCAAGCTGTGACAGAGACAGGTCTCAGACATTAACATGGTCATTTATCCCAAACTCATGAGCTCTGTCTACATTATAGCATCCACCATCAGAGAATTTCAGCTATGACATTTACTAGCACAGATATAGCCAAAGAGGCTGCTGGGAAAGAAACCTATATGATAGGAAATTAGCCTGTTGCTGAAAACAGTTCTCAGCAATGTACACTGGAGAATTGTGTGTTTAAAGTGTTAGTACTGGACCATGTGTAGCTGCCACGTTAGAGCTATCTATCTCTATTCACCATCAACCCTATTTCGCTTAGATTTATCCCCACATCTTACACATGCAGTTGTATAGTAAAGAGGGCCAAACACATTGCCACCAGCAGGGCCGGCTCTAGGCACCAGCAAAACAAGCAGGTGCTTGGGGCGGCACATTTGCAGGGGGTGGCATTCGGGCCATCCTTTTTAACAAAACAAAACGAAAAAACTCACTTCCTCCCCTCTCACAACCCTGCAGAAGCGGAGCCACGGAGCAGCTGGGGATCCAGCCTGGGAGCTGTAGTTCCTTGCCTAGCTCCCTGCCTACAGAGCCAGCCCTGGAGCAGGGAAAGAACTACATTTCCCAGCAATCCCTTAGCCGCTATCAACAGGAAAGGGAGGGGTAGGGAGTGAGGTAGCTGAGCCATGCTGCAGCTTGCTGTGAGTCGAAAGGGGTGGCACTGTGAATGGGGAACAAGTATGCCCAAGGAGTAGAAGGCTTTGCCCCAGATATCCCCTTCAGAAGACTTCCCCAGACTGGATTAGGGATACTGGTGTGACCTCACCTTGCAGCCTCCAAAGAAGGAATTGGGTGGACTAAATGGACAGTGCCCCTCTCTATCTGAAGCCTAGCAAGGGAGGTACTTGGATCCCACTAGAACTTAAAATGAAAAGTAAGGGAGGGGAGGCTCTACTAGAGGACCCGGGCAGCTTTAGATACAGTACCACGCACATAGGAGGATTTCCACTTCTGAGCCATGGAAGCAGAAATTGACTTTTCCTTTCCAGATATAGCTAATATTCAGAAAGGGAATCTAGCACCTGCCTTCCAGATTTGAACACCCTCAAAATTCAGGAGTGCTCAAGCTCAATTCGGGCAGCTGTTACTTCATTTCTCCTAAATCAAATATACTGATCCACTGTAACTTGCTGTAGAAAAAGTAGGATAAAATTGAGCAAGAAATGCTTCCCAGTGGTTTTTAGGACTGGAATTGCTATTTTCAACAGTCATTGCCTTGTTTGTTTGTTTTTTGTTTTATTTGTTTAAAAGGAAGACAGTGATTCTCCCATTGGCAAATTCCGCATAGAAAGAAAGAGTGGAACAAAAGAATAATAAAGGCACCTCAACTTTTCCTCATTTATGTAGGACAGTCTTATAATGTACATCCAGATATCCTCCAATCATACAAGCTGAAAATTGTTCCACTTTACTGCAGTTCTGTAACCATATGGGAACCAATCCTGTCTATTTTCTGTGCACATCCAAAATTCCTGCTGAATGACCCGCCCTGGGAGCAAGTTACCAGTGACCCAGGGCTGGGACAGCAGGAGGGCGCAGGTTGGGGGGAGAACCCAGGGCTGGGGCAGCAGGGAAGTGCAGGGGGAAGCCCAGGGCTGCGGTCGGGGGCAGCCAAAAAATTTTTTTTGCTTGGGGCAGCAAAAAACCTAGAGCCGGCCCTGGCCACCAGGGAAATTATTTCATAGCTTCCAGCAGGACTGATACGTGCAGTGGATTGTGGAGGGCGTGACTGGTCCACTGTGTGAGGCAATAGGGAGAGGACTAACTGAACTGTGCTGGGGAAGTGTAGTAAAATTTGTCCCTGGCACAATTTGCTACTGGTAGCACATATGGACATACAGCATGCCCTCTCAGAATTTGTTAACCAACCCCTTTCTCCATTTGCTTGTCAGGTAGCTATTTCCCTGTCATAATTTTGCTGCTCTCCCCATCTTTCTCCATTCTCTTGTCCACAGTAGCAAACTCTGACAGGGGTGATCTTCCCTGTCATAATTTGCTACTCACTTTTCCTCATTCTCTACACCAGGAGTGAGCAAACTACAGCCTGCGATCTGGCCCGCCAGCCATTTTAAGCTGGCCCTCAAGCTCCCACTGGGGAGTGGGGTCTGGGGCTTGCCCCGCACCAGTGCTCCATCCTGGGAGCAGGGTCGGGGCCGCACCACGCTGCTCCCTGAAGCAACGGCATGGCCCCGCTCTGGCTCCTACATGTAGGGGCAACCAGGGATGCTGCCAGGCATGCAGCCAGGCATACTGCCCCCGCCCCAAGCGCCACCCCCTGCAGCTCCCATTGACTGGGAACTGTGGCCAATGGGAGCTGCGGGGGCAGGAGCAGCACCTGCGGATGGGGCAGCACACAGAGTCACCTGGCTGTGGCTCCGCGTAGGAGCTGGAGTGGGGACATGGCCGCTGCTTCTGGGAGCCGCTTAAGGTAAGCGCTGCCCAGAGCCTGCAGCCCGAGCCTCTCCCCATGCCCCAACCTCTTGCCCCAGCCCTGAACCCTCTCCTGCCCTCCAAACCCCTCAATCCCAGCCCAGAGCACCTTCCTGCACCCCAAACCCCTCATCCCCAGCACCACCCCAGGGCCTGCATCCCCAGCGAAAGCCTGCACACCTTCCCACACCACAACCCCCTGCCCCAGCCCTGATCCCACTTCCACCTTCCAAACCCCTTGGTCCCAGCCCAGAGCACCATCCTACACCCCAAACGCCTCATCCCCAGCCTCACCCCAGAGCCTGCACCTTCCAGCCGGAGCCCTCACCCCCCCCAGCACCCTATTCCCCCACCCCAGCGCCCCTCCTGCGCCCTGAACTCATTTATGGCCCCACCCTGGAGCCCACACCCCCAGCCGGAGCCCTTACCCCCTCCCACACCCCAACCCCAATTTTGGAGCATTCATGGCCCTCCATACAATTTCTATTCCCAGATGTGGCCCTCGGGCCAAAAAGTTTGCCCACCCCTGCTCTAGACCTGTGGTTCTCAAACTGTGGGTTGGGACCCCAAACTGGGTTGCAACCCCATTTTAATGGGGTCACCAGGGCTGGCGTTAGACTTGCCAGGGCCAAAGCCTAAGCCCAAACCCCACTACCCAGGGCCAAAGCGCCAGGGCTCAGGTTTTAGGCCCCCCACTCAGTGCTGAAGCCCTTGGGCTTTGGCCCTCCCACCTGGGGTGGCGGGGCTCCGGCATGCTCAGTCCCCACTCCTGGGGCCATGTAGTAAATTTGTCAGAAGGGGCTTGTGGTGCAATGAAGTTTGAGAACCCCTGCTCTAGATCTGATGCCAGTTTTGAATTCAGTTTCACTCAACTCTGTCCCTCAATGCTCACAATAGCTACTGGGAATGGTGCAGTAGCACTACTGCCATTGTAAGAAGACATGAGGCAGGTCTGCAAGACTGTGCTATTGTTTGTGTTGTGTTCCAGATTTGAATCCCAGCATTTATTCACATGCTCTCCAACGGCCATTAATGGTGTTCAGTGTCACTGTATTAAATGGTTCAGGGATTAGTAGGAGCAAGTTGGCGGATCTGTCACCATGATACGAGGAGAGGTACATGTGTACAGAGAATGGATCACTTGATGATTACCTATTCTCTTCATTCCCTCTGGGGCACTTGGCATTGGCGACTGTCAGAAGACAGGATACTGGGCTAGATAGACCTTTGCTCTGACCCCGTATGGCCGTTCTTACGTTATCAATTATGCTTTGAGTACTGAGTTCTGTAGGCTATGTCAATAAAGATGCACACGGTTCTCTTCTTGCTATGGGGACTATCACCAGGCTGGTGGCATAGAGAATAGTGGCTTCCAGGACTTTGAGAGGGGTAAGTGAAGGCTATGTCTCACAAGGAACCCTTGGGGAAGGGAGAAGGGGTAGTGACATTTTGCAAAGCAGGAGTGGTTTGTATGGCGTAGGCTTAGTTTTTGAGTGTAAGCCAGGCATAGGTAGCTTCTGTTTGCTACATCCAGCTGACTTAAATCTGAATTTCGCTAGAGCAAAAATAAATGGAGTGAAACTATATTTACAGTGGATTACAGGAAATTGAGTATTACTGAGGCAATCGGAGCACCAGCTAAAAGAAATTTGTGAGCTGCTATGAAGTGCTGTCCAGACGTTACCCCTACATAAACTGACAAGGAATTCTTTTAACACGATGCGTATGAAGAGTTTTCGGACGGTGGATGTAAAATACTGAAGTGAATCAAGTCTCCTCTGGCAGCTCTCGAGAGAGCAATTCAACTAAAAACACAACTGCTGAGCTTGGGGATACCTACGCTGTACCTTCAAGAACACATGGCGGGAGGCGGTGCTGAGAGGTCCCTCTGCCGCTCACCCCGTTTTGGCCGCCACAACAGCTCGCTCACTCCACTTGGGGTCACTTTTAGCGCCTCTGCTCCTGCTCCTCCCCGGCACAGTCCGGCCGCACCTCTCCCCATTTCTTAGCCCCGCCTCCTGCCCCTGGCGTCGGGTTTTGGCCGCCTTCCTCCCCCTTATCGCCCCCGCCGAGGCTAGTCCCTGTACAAATGGTGTCCCTCCCTCCCTCCGGCCGGCCCCAGCCCTACCCGCCTTAGGGGACACCACCAGCCCGACTGCTGGGGCCCGGGGACGCGCTGTCAGGCCCGCTCCCGGGGGGGGCACCTCGGGAGCGGCGGGCTAGGCTGGGCAGAGCGCCAGGAGCAGGCCGAGGGGACGGCGGTAACGCCGGCCTGTGTGTTCGGGAGATCCGGGGCTGCCCCTCCCCACTCGGCGCACACTCACCTGGGGGAAGAAACAGACTCGCCCAGTCCCGCGCTCAGAGCCCGCCTGGCCGCGTTTGAACCGGCCGCCCTGCGCCTGCGCCTGCGCCCGCGCCCGCCCCCTGCAAGGCGGGGCCGGGCGGAGCGAGCAGCCGAGTCCAACCGACCCCAGCCTGGCGCGCGTGCGCCGCCTACTCTAGTCTGGAGCTGAGGGGCGAGCGGGAGGCCGGCGGCGGCAGGTCAGTGGCTGTGCTGGACGGGGAGCGCCCGCCGGTACCGGGGCGCGCGGGGGAGCAGCGATCGAGGCTGGGGGTCCCCGCGCGGGGTGGGGGGTTTGCCGGAGCCTGGCTGCTCGCACGGTGGCGCTGCCCCCGCTTAGCCCGGGCAGCTCCTAGCCCCGCCGCCTTCGGGCGAACAAAGAGCCCGGGCGGCTCCGGCTGCCCTGCTCCCCGGGCCGGGCTCTGAGCAGAGTAGCGGGCTCGCTCCGAGCCCGGGTTGCCGCGGGACACTCAGGAAAGGGGGCTTGGCTCGTTCTCGCTGCCTTGCGTGGAAGCAACAGACGATCCGGGGTTACTGCCCGAGGCACTTTCCCCCCTCGCCCTTCCCGAGCCGACAGGCGCTGCGAGCCTGGCATCCGCCGCCGAAATGCAGCCACTTCTGCGAAGCGGCAGGGTGGGGTTAACAGGGTTCCGAGGCTGCGCTTGTCAAGTCCCCTATAGCTCTTCCGGAATACTTATGTGTTGTCGACAGTTATTTCTGTATAAGGCGCTCTTATTCCAGCCCCAGCTCGTGAGAGCCTTTGTCCGGTTTAGCTTAAATCGTGTAGACTAGTTCTTTCGGAATAACAATTCCAGGAAATTTCCAAGTGTAGACAAGCCCGTACCCATCATGCCTTACAATGTCAAAATAGGAAAGTAAAGTACTATTACAAGTTAAAATATGGATGCAATATGAATTAATGAATACGAATATCTTAGTGTAATGCAATGCAAGATGTTTTCCTTTCCCTTCTGCTTGCACAGCTAGACTAGACTAGACTAACCATTTTCTGTTTCCTGGCGTTTGTTTCTGGCTCTCATGTTCTTACAGGGTGCTGTGGGAGAATGTTGAAATCTAATTTAATTGACTTTAAGGTTTTGTTTGGAAATAGTAATAATAAATAATTAAACTCCTGGTCTAATCTTTCAGCTCTCTCACTGTCGGCATATAATAATACTAAATTGGAGTATATACGCCTGAGGGCATTTGGTGCCAAAAAAATAAAATTCTACACCAAAAATATTAAAATTCTGTGCATAATATTTTGAAATTCTGCAAATTTTATTTGTCAAATAAATGTGGAGCTCCAGCCTGGCACTGGGGAGCACAGGCTGCACCTGACCCTGAGACAGCGCAAGTACCTGGCCTGCCCCAGAAACACCCCAGGGCCCTGCCACTCTGTGTGGGCAGGCACGGTCAGTAAGGCAAGATCCAGGTGTGGATGGGGCTTAATGTGGGTGGATCCAGGTATGGGTTGAGAGTGATCTGGGTGTAGGTGACTCTGGGGATCTGGGTGCACAGGGGCTTTTTGCGGGGTTCTGGGTGCAACGGTAATGGGACTCTGCAGGGGGGTCCAGGTGAAGGTGGTTGGGCTCAGTGGTGGGGGAGCATTGGGGGGGGGATAGAGGTCGGCACAGCTGTCTGGGTGTGAGGGGCTCAGTGCGGGGTTCAGATGCTAGGGGTGTGGAGCTCAGTGAGGTTGGGATCCAGGTGCAGCTGGTTCTGGCTCAGTGGGGTGGGGATCTGGGTGCGGGTGGCTTGTTGGGGTGAGCCAGGTGCCTGGGGAATGGGACTCAGTGTGGGGAGAGGGGGGGTCAGCTGGAGGGTCTGAGTATGAGAGGATCTGGATGCATGAGGGTTGGGCAGATGGGGGAGAAGCTCCCTGTACAGGAATCCTCCCCCTGCAGCTGAGAAGCAATGGGTGCAAGAAGTGTGTGGGGGCGGGGGGTTGCAGAGCTTCCTGCAGCTGGGAGAGAAATCTGAGGGTGGGTCTGACAGGCCCCAGATGCCATGCAGGGGGAAGAGGAAGTCCCATCCTCCCCAGCCCAGCCAGGACTAGCAGCTGAGCCTGGTGCAGGGTAGGAGCCACCAGATGGGTCTTCCCAAGTTTCGCCTCTTGCCCCCCAGTGATTTACCTCTCTGCCAGCTGCCCTGGGCACCCAAAACATACTGCTGGGGAGGGTTGCATGACCACTCTTGTGGCTTCCCTTTGCTTCCCTGTCAGAAAGTCATTTTTCTGCAGGGAAGCAAAGCAATCTGCGGGGGACATAAATTTGGCGCATGTGCAGTGGCACAGAATTCCCCAAAGAGTAAGTTGTGACGGGTTGGATCACAGAAACCCCCTTAGGGAACTGCCACCCGATGTGCAAAGACTACCCCTGCTTCTGTTTTCCCT